GTTATCTCATTGGTAAAAGGGAGTGATTAATATCCCTCCCTTCTAGGATTTTAAAGATGAATCAATGTAACATTTAAAGAAAGGAAAACAACTTAGTACTGCGTTTAAGACAAAGTAAATTCTTAATACAGGTTACTGATCATCACCTTTCACAATATATTCTTTCTATATGAGCAACTCTTTCCATAATTAGTTTCAATTAACCTCAGAACACTGATGACTCAAAACTTCATATTTCCAGTTGAGACCATTCAGAGCTTCAGACCCAGCTTTTCAAATGCCTCCTTAGTATCTCTCCTTACATATATCAAGGAACTTCTAATAGCATCAAGATAAATGGAGAAAAGACTCAAGTTGTCAAAGACTTTGTTTTGCTCAGATAAACCATCAACACTCATGGAAGCAGCAGTTAAGAAATCAAACGACATATTGCATTAAGCATACCTGCTGCACAAGACCTCTTTAAAGTATTGAAGAGCAAAGGTCAGTTTAAGGACTAACATGCACCTGACCCAAGCCATGGTATTTTCAACAACCTCATATGCATGTAAAAGTTGGACAATGAATAAAGAAGACTGCAGAAAAATTGATGCATTTGAGTCATGGTGGTGGAGAATGTTAAACGTATGTTTTATCATGTTAAACCATGGACTGCCAAAACAACAAACAAAGCTGTGTTAGAAGAAGTACAGCCAGAAAGCTCCTTGGAAGCCAGAATGGCAAGATTTCATCTCTCATACTTCGAACATGCTGTCAGGAGGGACAAGTCCCTGAAGAAGGACACTATGCTTGGTAAAGTGGAGGGTAAAAGAAAAAGAAGACCCCCCCAATGAGAAAGATTAGCACAGTGGCAGTAGCAATGGGCTCAACACAGCAACAACGTGAGACTGAGACAGGACCAAGCAGTATCGTTCTGCTGTGCATAGGGTCACTATGAATCAGTACCAACTCAATGTCACCTAACAACAACAAAATTACTCATCTAAGACCCCTTCACCTTGTCACACCCTCACCACCAAGGTAACACCAATGTGAAAGACAGAAACAGAAGTCATTTTGGTATTTTCATATTTCCCAAAAGTTCTCTCATGTTCTTCTGAATTCATCTTTTCTATAAACTTAGCACCAATTCAAAACACATCCCTTCTCACCTGAAATAAATCTCTTAACTGGTCTCCCTTTACTCACTCTGCTTTCTTCCAAATTATTCTAGAAGTACCTAATCTAAGCCCTTCCAATAATTTAAAACACTATAGCTAAAATACCAACCAAGAGGGAAGGAGTCTTCTGATACATCAAGGACCAAACCTATCCCCTCTGTACACAGGATTGATAGGGATGGGCAACTTAGACATTGGCTACATAAAATGGGGGAGGGGGGCTGTAAAGGCATGAAGTATCTGGCTTATAAATTTTCAAGAGGGAGTTTAGTTTCAGAGCGTGTGGGGGAAGGTAGAATCCCCACTGAATAGTTTTCATCTTGTCAAGAAGGGTCTGGTGAAAGGAGATGGGGATAAGACTCTTTTGATTCAATAGTGAGTAATTGTTACCATGACTAAAAGAGATTGTCACAACTGTAAAGGTAGATGTTTTGTAACATAAAGGGGGGAGTAGTGAATTTTACATGCCAGGAACAGAGGACCCTAGGCCTATCAAGGGAGAAGAGCAGGAGCTGAATGTGGGACCCTAACCAGAGAAGCAACAACACGAGAGATGGAGGCAGAGATGATGGCATGGATAGACAGAGCACTGAGGACTCTAGACTCATGGAAAGAAAAAGGTTTTGTGCTGGTAGCCAGGAGGCAAAATGTGTCCTTGGGTTGTTTAAATAATTATATATTCCTGAGTGTTTTTGTTAACATAAACAAAAAAAAACGAAAAACAGAGGGAATAGAAGCAAATACTGTTGAATATGATGCATTAAGGGGATTATAGTCACTGCAATAAAACAAAATACAATAGGATGAGTGTAAATTCAATATTCTCCCACGTAAACTATCACTCAATTCAAAATAAAAGCTTTTTTTAAAAAAACCCCAAAATTACCATAGTTAAGGGTACATTTTAGTGACGTCTTCTATTTACTTCCTTATACACTAATAGCATGTTAGAAACTTAACCCATTGCTTGGCATTTACTACGGACTAATTAAATGTTATTCAGTAAAGATAAACTGAGAACAACTTTCCTATTACCTGGATTCTGGTTCCCATCCTTCACACACCCTTAATGTCATAGTTCTCCAACTGGTCTTGCTAACCTTCATATGTATAAACCCAAAGTTTGACATATTGCAGGCCTCAAGCAAAACCAGATAAATCTAGTTCTTTTAGTATTTTAGAATTAAACTAAAGATCAGGTCCAAACTCTTTTTCACACTGTTGTCTCTGTCTACCATTCTAAACACTATCAAACTAATTCCCCATGTGCATCTTATTCAGATTTTTCAGCTCTGCAGAATTTCCCATACTATGTTGGGTTAATGTGCTGGACCGCAAAACCTGTCTGAACAGCAAGGTTGGCAGTTCAAGCTCACCAGCCACTTCTTGGAAAACCTAAAGGTCGCTATGGGTCGGAACTGACTCAACGGCACTTAACAACATCATCATCTCCTCTAAAGAGCCTTTTGAACCTGATGTTTTTCTCTGTCTACAAATGCTATATCTGCACTAATTACCTAATTGCAATCATCTAGATGTTACAGAAAAGAAACTGTGGCTCAAGTAAGTTAAATAACTGTTTAGAATCAAAATGGGCTGGCAACTGGTCAAGATATCAAAGAAATTAACAACAACAAACAACATTAATACTGTTCTATTTATACCTCAACTTTTCTGAACCCTGTTTCTTTCATAAAGTCCAAGAAAAACATTATGTGTTGTGGAAAAGAGAATATGATATTCCACAAGCACATTTTATGTATTAGATGCAAACACAAGACAAGTATTTTATGTGATAAAACAGTGTTGCTGTTAGTTCCATAGTCGGTTCAACTTAAGCCACCCTATTCAGGGTTTCTGGGAGTCCTGGTATGGCACTGTGGGTTAATGCGCCAGACTGCAAAGCCGTTTGAAATGCAAGGTCGGCAGTTCAAGCTCACCAGCTGCTTCTTGGAAACCCTATACAGGGTCGCTACGGGTCATAACCGACTCAACGGCACTTCACAACAACACAACATTCAGGGTTTCTGAGGAACAGCTATTGGGTTGGAACCACTGACCTTGCAGACAGCAGTCCAATCCTTATCTACAGCAGAAAAAAAGGGGGAAAAAAAACACACCAAAAAAAAAAAAGAAAAACCACTGAACATGTTCTATGCTTTGTTTGAACAGACAGCTGCATAAAATTCTAATGTCAATTACAACTATTGTTATCCAGCTGTCAGTCAATGCTCCTTCCTGCTTACAAAAAAAAAAAAAAAAAAAAAGATAAAAGACTGGTAAAAGTGTTACACAGGATAGGTAATTCTAAAATAACAATACTGAATCTTCCAAGAACAATAGTAAAAGGCCAAATACCTTCCAAAGAAGCCTGGGTTTACATTTTTGTTTATCTATTTAATAAAATCATAGGATACATTTTTTTTCCCAGTAGCAAACCCAGTGTTTCATGAAAGACGTAACACCCATAAGCTATTGCTAAGTGTGTTGGAGGAGTCCTGGTGTGGCAACCTTGCACCTCAAGGTTGACTTGCAACACAAAATAGGTAGTTCAAACTCACCAGCTGCTCCTTGGAAACCCTATACAGGGTCTCTGTGAGTCAGAACAGAATCCACAGCACTTAAAAAACAACAAAGTGTGCTGGGGAAGTCTGGTGGCTCCATACAACAAGCAATGGACAGTGAACTATATATAATGTCCAAGGTTCAATCCTGTCAGTCGCTGTGCAGGATAAAGAAGAGGCTTTCAGCTCCGAAGACTTAAAGCCTCGGAAACCCTATACAAGTTGCAGTTTTAAGTGCGATTGAGTTGGTTCTGACTCAAAATAGCCATGTGTAAGGCTTATAAGGTGCAGTTAGTGGGTTTGAACTTCTGACCTTGTGATTCAGTCCAGTGCAGACCCTACAGTGCCATAGTAGGTAGCTCCACTTAAATGATTACTTCAAAAAGTATTAGTAACAATAATAAATCTAAAATGTATGTATTCCCCTATGAAAATGTCAATTTGTCAATACCTTTCCCAGAAACCTACTCAAGGAAAACACGTGTCTTCTTTAATTCTTAATATATCTTACGCATGTTATCTGCATGTAGGAGAGAGCTTCAAAAACTTCGTGTGAAAGATTGTATTAAAAGACAATGCAATTTTTCAAGCTTCCATGTATGTATGTATATAT